CATATATGTATGTATGATGTGTGTGTGTTAAGAACCCTACAGTACGAAAAGTGCCATTTTTTAATGTCAATTTGATAGCCACATGTATTGCTTAAAATAACCACATGGCACATTTGTAATGCTGAAAGTATCTATCTATTTGCATTTAATGACGCAGAAAATACAAAAATTACATGCTCTTCATAACACAATTAGAGTTTTTTACGAACAAGAGATCAATAGCTCACCAAGTTCAACCCCAGTTTCGGAATTAATTTTTTCTTTTTATTTTTTAATTCTTGTTGGAGAATTCGAACTAGTGATATATTTTAACGGAAACATGTTATGCATATGGTGTCAATCGGCCACTCGCAATGATATCTCCATGTTAAGTTCAACAGTAAATAACATTGCTAGTGGGTTGAAAATTCACTAGTGGTAGTTCTTAGTGGCTGCTGATATCGCTGTTGTCGAACAAGTTCGTCGTACTGCACGGAACTTAATGGATACATAGAAGTTTTGCAGTGGATATCGTATTTGAACGTTATTTTCTTTAAATAAAATATTATAATTATGTATTATGAAAAATAAAAATATAACTAATAAAAAAAATTCATTATTATCCATATAAATTTTTGAGTAATAACACCGTTCAACAAAACAGAAAAAAAAAATCGTTAGACACGAACCGGAACGGGAGAAAAACTGCGTCTTTTGTTTTTCATTTCGTAATCCTGTGTCCTGTTAAAGGACTACAAAATTTTTAAAAGTAAATTTTTCAAAAAATATTTTAAAATACTTCAACTGATCAAACAATACGAAATTTGATGTCAACCTAAAGAGAAGAGTTGGGAAATATTTTGTATTATTTTTATTTTATACAATATTATTTTTATACAAAATTTTTGAAAGACTTTTTTACATATTTTGATCCTGACAGAATAAAATAAAAACAACACAAAATACTTTGCAACTCTCCTTGTTCGTTTGACATCAAATTTGGCATTGTTTGACCAGTTAGTATATCATCCAGTTCGTGTCTAATTTTGAGTGTCGGGCGGTGTAATAATATTCCAAATCCATCCAAATATGTATAGCCCTTTCAAGATAGTTATAGATAGCTTTATTTTAAAATGTTACCATTGAATTTTGCAAAGAGATGCAAAATAAAGCTTTAAAGAGATTTCACAATTCAATCTTCAATCACGATTTTATATACATAATGTATGTATCTATATGTATGTATATATTTATGTATATATTTATGTATATATGTATGTATGCGTGCATTTAATGTTTAATTTTTAATGCTGAGCTGGTTTCGGTTATACTTCCAAGGTTTAGGCGTGAAAAGCAAAACTCAATTTAACCCTTCTGTTGTAGCGTTGTTGTGTAAATAATTTAAAATACTCTTCTGTGATATTCTCTACTTGTACAAATACATGTTTGATGCATGTGTGTGTTCGTTTTAAGTATTTAACCATAAAAAGGATTTATTATCCTTTTTGTGGAGGCAAAAGATTGTTATATGTGCAATGTAAATACGTAACAGTAGATAGACTGGTAGTGACTTTACTCACTCACTCCCTCACTCACACACAAACACAACCCAACAGTTCGACAAGGAGACAACAAACCCTTAAAAGACAGTAATTTTAGCTAATTTCTTATCAATTGGTAGACTCTAACTTGTATGATTTGAGTCATTCGCCCGAATATATGTATACTTCGTAATGCAGGGCGAAGACAGTCTCCACTTGTTTGTCTCCACAAATGTATAAAAATTATATATTCTGAAACGAAATTTTATTATAATTAATAAAATATTACTAAAAGATCCAACCTTCTATATTTAGAATTGTTAAAACATAAGTATCTGTAATCGAATTATGTTTATAACAATTGTTAAGTATCTTATTTTAATCGAATTGTACTATTATGAGAATTATTGGAAAAATTTCGCCATGATAATTGAATTAAATTTAGCATTTCATAAAATGTGTTTCAAATATTGGTAGTTACAAACGAAAATTGTTTATGTCAATAAGTTTTAAATTAAAAATAAGTAACCAGTTATTGTAACTAATTTTTGTTTATGTATAATTTAAATTCGGTATTCCCAACCGACAAACAATTGTCATATTGGTAGATTTTTCTGAAAAAATATTATTATTTAAATAATAAATTGAAAAGAACGAAACTATCTTGAATTTGTATTTAAAAATTAAATACGCAATATTATTAGTTGTGTTTTGTTGCTAACGTTCAAAGGCAATTTCATATAAATTTAAAATTTATAAACGTTAGGAGTTAACGTGTAAAATTATACAAGTTAATTTTAACGTTGATAAAAGTGCTACCAATTCAAAAATAAAAATACAAATATTAATGTGTTTATGTCAAACAATAAAAAAATATTTTAAAATAAAATTTAAATCAAAGAAAATTACCAAGTAAAAAAACCTTTTCAAGAAATTGTAAATAATTTCAAGATTTAGCAGATTTCTTCTGTGGAGTGATGCCAAGTCAGGTAATGTTCGTTTTGTTGCTAACTTTATAACTTTAAGCGTTAACACTCATTGATAGCAACAAAACACAACTATTATTGTTGGGTTATTTCAATAAAAAATAGTTCTCCTAAATTTATGTATGTTTTACTGGAACTATCGGATCATTCTATCTATTTTTGAAATAATTGAAGAACATAAACCCATCCACTTATGCCGTGACTTCAGTTTGAAATTTGCGTACTTCTGCGAGGGCCGTTCATGTTAAAATAGTTCCCACAACGTGTTCTTATAACAAATTTCTGAAGTGAAAGTTATATAGGCCTCGTTTTTGTTTCTATTTTAAATAAAATAAACATTCAAATGAATACAACCCACGAAAGCTTTTGTATTAATTAATATTTTAGTTGCAAATACCAATAATTTCAATCCATATTGTTGAATTAAAATTTTAAAATAGTTTTGAATTCCATATATTCAGTAATAACAATCAAATTTTATAGTCATCACAATCAAATTATGGTATAGTTCTGAGAACCGACTGAATTCGATTGGAAACAAATTTGGTTGTCACAACGAATCAGCTTTCTCTGTGTGCAGAGCGGGACATTTCAAACTTGTTTTTTGTATAATACTACAGGAAGTATGTAGTTATTTAACCAGTCATTTAAAATCGAATCTAGAGTCAATTGTACATTTGTAATCGAAGTGATGTATGTGTGATCAATTGACTTCCTTCATGGGCAATGCTTATGTAATAATATCTAGTCACCTAAATATGTTATTATGTGGGTAGTGATAACCCGTATTGGTAGGTAAAATTACTAATTCCGGACTGTAATCCAGCACTGCAGGGTAGTTACTGATTACACATTTATAGTCTCACATTTACGTACACTTTATTTTTATATCCTTTTATTCTATTTGATTTTTCATGATTCTATGGCTGAATGTTATTGACTTTATAATTTGTGTGAAAATTCTGAGTGAAAAGCGGTGTAAGTGTGCATGTGTTTATTTTACGTGAACCATGTTTTTCTGTGTACTATGATATACACAGTGTGTAGTAGTGTAGAATGTATTACACACTCCTCTATTCAAGACTATATGTACAAGGTTTATCACCTCTCTCGTGGGTATAATACATACAACATAAAATCCTGTTTCGAATTTTAATTTTTTATTTTCTATCATCCTCTTTTTGCGAAATCTATACATATATTACATACATTCAGTCAAGATACAGAATATTTTTACAAAACAATTTTTAAAAGGAATAAAAATGTACATATAATTTTAAAAAACTTTTTCGAAGCTTTAAAAAACATGTAGTGGTATAAATTATGATTTTTATACACATTTAAGAAGCAGAATACGGAACACATTTTTACAAATTACCATTGTATTTCTTTTACTTTACAAAATTCCTCAAAAAATCGATTATTTACACAAAACTGTTTGGGGTTGCGTTTCAAAATATGACCTAAGAATATATTTTATTATATAGATAGGTTTAGAATATGTATGTGTTGGAACTTGAAAAATAGGTGGTGGGACGAGGGTGAGGTGTAGTGTTTGTAGAAATTTTATTTAAATCTTTTCACGTCGAAAGAGGCAGAACATTTGTTATACATACCGAATGTTCGACTGAAGAACGAATTTTGTCAAAATCACATTTTTTGTCTCGATTAGGCTATGTTTTAAGAAACTAGTTTAAAATTATACATACGAATCAAATTTTAATGGGATCGGCTCACAATTGGGCTATACCGTCATACCGAAATTTTACCGGTGTCATATTAAAGTAATAATAAAACTTAATATTTTATTTAAATGTGACAACTAAATACAAACAACCATTAGAGCTTTACGAAGATCGAGTAAAAATCTTTCGAACTCTCTAAAGAATTATTAAAATTATAGAATTTTTAAACATGTTCAGATAAATTGGGACATGGTGGTAATCAATACATTTACAAATAATATTCTCGCGACACATTTATTTATAATTCCACGTTTTCGTAATTTTTCAGTTTTACGAGTACAAAAGCAACATCATCCATAAACAAAGAAAGTGCGTGATTAAAATACACAAAGAAATAAAGTAATAATTTCTAACGGGGAAGTGGATAGGATAGGTGGAAGACCGCTTTAAATATTCATGTATGTATTATGTGCTGAAGTCAAAAAAGTAAATAAAAAAGTTAAATAATTTAAAATGACATGTTGTTGACACCATATTGTGCGAATATAGAAGACTTATTGTGCGAATATGGAAGGACGGGCGGACGGACAAACAGCCAGCATTTAAATCACCACAACTATTAAAGAAAATGTCACGTAAAGAAAGTCAACAATAAAAATAAATACAAAAGATAACAAATACCACAGGAAATATGTTAAATTTTATCTTTCAAATAGGATGAACATACGAATTAAAAATAAAAAAGAATGTTTTTATTTAAAACGTGATGAAACACAGACAAAAAGTATGTAGTCAAATGTTGAACTCACCTGCAGATTGGATGGACAATGATCCAATAATTCTAACATGTGTTTAATATTCTGTGCATCTTGTATGACAAAATTTAATTCCATATCAAATTCACCACCAACGAGCTGCAATTCAAAAAGAAAACGTAAATGATGTTATTGATTTTGATTTATCATTTTTTTTAAGTAATATTTTTAAAATGTAAAAGTAATAATTATGAATAAGAAACAAAGAACAACTTTTAATATTATTCTTTTTTTACAAAATATTTTAAATTATGGGTAATTTGAAAAAATTTCGAACAAAAAGTAGAATTTTGAAAATAACCCTCTCCGATTTCGATGAAATTCGGTGCACATATTTATATTTTTTAGGATTTTTTCCAACAAGCATTAAATTTAAATCGTAATTTTAATCGTTCTAGTCTAGGGATGCCAATCGGGACTGGTTTTTAGAAATCCCGGGATTCGGGATTTTTAAATAAATCCCGGAATCCCGATATCGGGATCCCGGGATTTTCGGGATTTCTAAATCCCGAAAAATATAAAAAATATTCAAAAAATCTTAATAATTTACCGACAAAAATAAAACGTTTTATTTCATATTGCAATATGAATACTCTTAGTAGGTGTTTACTTTCCAATAAGCATTTTGTGAAAAGAAAAACAAATTAATTCAAAGTACATACTTAGAATAAAAATCTTTCCATCCCAGGCACTGAATAGTAGAATAAAAACCTAAAATAATACCCATGATATCCAAATTTACAATGGTTTCCAAATAATATTTAAATAGTATGTGTAATGGGGATCCATACGAGGCTACATAGAGCACCTGTACTGCACCTATATCTTCTCCACCTTATATTACGTGTTCACTAACCAAGGGAATTATCTTCTCGCCATCTTATTGACAGGTTGACTTCCATTATAGATATTCTATAGTATCAATGCCTATTTATTGCCCTTTTTATACCCTTAGTAGGGATTGTATATTGGGTTTCTCCGGAGTAGTGCTTTTGTTTTATACTGTCCTAAAATACGCTGATGAAATTTGAAATGATCGGGCTTTTGATCCGAGCTCCCATACAAAACACAGCTTTAAAAAAGAATTAGTGTCCACAATTCGCTTAAAAAGAGAACTGTCGCAATGAAATTCAGCATAAAACATTTTATGTAACCGTAAATTCGTCCTCCAAATTTTATGAGGATCGACTCATATGATGGCGTCCTTCCCCCAAGCATATTTCAGAAAAATAGTTTTTTAACAATAAAGTGCTAGAATATATCAGAGGCGAGGTATACATTTATTATGAAAACTAAATTACATTTTACTCTCATAACTGGTGTATGGGGTTATATGGTCGGCCTCGCCCGCCTATAAATTCGTACTTGTTATTTTTATATATCCGATAGTATCTATGCCTATTTAGTATAGCAATGAAATTTGATATTAGTAAATCCCTGACGAGCCAAAACCTCTCTACCAAATTTTATGTGGGTCGGTTCATAATTGACCCTACCCCCATATAAGGTCCCGTTAAAAAAATGACTTTAACGCTTATTACTGGCTTAAAAATAGCGATGAAATTCTATACACATATGTTTCATGCGAGTCAAAATCTCTCTACCAAGTTTTATGTGGTTCGGTCCATAATTGACCCTACCCCTACATAAGGTCCCATCCAGATAAATACTTTAACGCTCATTACTGGCTTACAAGTACGAGTGTAGAGATGAAATTTGAGATAAGTAAGTTTCTTACTCGCCAAAAGCTAAGAAACTTTTATAGGAACGTAAATCTTCCTACCGGAAAGTGTATGAACCAAAATTGGTCTAAAAAAATTATGAAAAATTTTATAAAAACGGTCAATGATTCACCCTACCTCTCATATAAGATCCTATCAGTAAATTTGATGAGTAATATCACCCTGATGTTTATAGAAAAGCATTCCTTTTACGGCATACGGTTTGATGGTGGGTATATTAGATTCGGCATAGCCGAATATAGCACTCTTACTTTTTTTTTGATATTTTAGCTTGTAAGTTAGTAGAGTCATCTTAAGTCCAAAAACTATTAAAATTCTCTTATTTAGTACTTTATAATGTATAAAATAGCGGAAAAATACTTAAAAATTCGGGATTTTAAAATCCCGAAATTTCCCGGGATTTCATTTTTTAAAATCCCGGTTTTCGGTACTTTCAAATCCCGAAAATCCCGGGATTTTCGGGAATCGGGAATTCCCGTTTGGCATCCCTATTCTAGTCCCTTGGCCTTGAGTAGTATAATAATGTAGTTTAACAATACTTTTGTTAAAATCCCTGCAAAAACAGAATTAGTCTAATAAGGTCTTAATGTATTATATAAATACTTTCTAATTCATAAATCATCTGGCCAGTGAAGATATAGAAGCTGTATACGTTTTTTCATGTGATTTTCAATGACTACTTTTTCTAATTACTTGTAATCGTTTGTGGTAAGTACTTGCCTCCAATGACATCACCGTGTTAAAATAAAGACTTTTTACTGGGATATTATACTTTCAAAATAGTATTTTAAATAAATTATTGTCAAACTACAATTCATGGGCTTTAATTAACGAACGATTAATATCATATAAATAGTATAGAAAATATACGACGTTAAATTCAATGATAGTTGAAAAAATTTTAAAAAGCATGAACTTTGAACTTTGATAAAATTTAAACCGTAATGAATTTTAAAGAATGTGTGTACCAAGTATCACCAAAATCGGAAAAGGTAAGGTACAGAAAATAGAAAATTTATTAATTGACCCTTATATTTTTTATGATTAAATATAAAAATGAATATGATCTGGTAAATTATAGGTCCAAAAGATCGAAAAAATAAGTTATTAAATGTAAACGGTCTAGATTTGTACACTAGATTTCGTGTATATGTAAATGGGGTATAAGATAAATATTAATAATTTTACCGCTATAAGCTCAAAATTACGGAATTTTTGAGTTCCATTTCGAAAAGATAAAAAACATTATTTTTAATATATTTTACTGATATCAATACTATCAAACGCTGGTAGGGAACTGAGGTACTTAAAAAAAATATTTTGTATTTTTCTAGTATTTAGTACATTAATACGCATCGTTTGAGAGGTATTCCTCTAAAAAAGTGGCCCACGGGACAGCCTAATGTATAGTATGTATTACTTTTGCAGACAACAAAGCGTATGATAGTTATTTAGTGAAAAAAGTTTAAAATCAAGTGCATGTGCATACAAAAGTACATACATATATGCATTTTGTTTCTGTACAAACAAATTGAGAAAAACTACGTATTTCTGTTATTTTTTCTTATACTTACTTCTTCTCTACATTTATTAAATGTTGATTAAGCTTAAAAGGAGTTAGTAAAAATCTTAATTTATTTATTTATTTATTTATATCTTTTTGCATTAAATAAACCTTGTAATATTTGTTTAATGTTAATGTTAATTTATTAACACATAGATACACACACACTACCATCGACTCATTATCTAAACGGAGGGAATCTTACAAATAGAGCCTTTTATCATGGATTACAAACGAGTCAGTGTTTCGTAACTCACAAGTTCTCGCTAACATTCTTATGCAAGAAATGAACACAAAGAAAACAAAAGATAGAAAACGAAAATCTCAAGAAATTAATGGAAAAACTAATTCAAACACCATGAGACATCTTTATCATTTCAATTCACAAACACATAAGCACAAACCCAGGAGAATAAAAATGCGGGCGGCTGACTGTCGGTAGGTCGGTCGATGGCAAACTTACGAATGTACATACACACATATACACTGTCTCTATCTAACTCACACGAACTAAAGGAAGATTTCTTTTATTTTTGTTTTTCCGTTATGTCTGGCTGCCAATAATCTGGGCGCCACTTTGAAAGTCTTCATCTTTCTTCCAAATAGAAAAACGAATAAAAAGGCAATTTATTTGTTTCACAAACTGTAAAGGAAATGGAGGATAGAATAGATTCTTTAGGTAACGATAAGTAAATTTTAGTTTCAACTCCCTGCTGAAACAATTACATTTATCTCATGAGATAGTGAGGACGGAAGTATTATATGCTGAAAGCAAATACAATGTTATAAATATATATGTTTATATGTATATAAGTATATCGTCGTCTGAAATGAAAAAAATCGATTTTTTGACTGATTACAATTCACTAGATGATAGGGTATTCAATTATTCTGTTTTATGTTAGCCGGTTCATAATCGGATAATTGAAAATTATTCGCTTAATCGAAAAACTGGAAACTGGACGTTTTTTTTATTAATTTTATTGTTCTTTACAATATTTTTCTTTCTATAACAAACAAAATTATAATTTTCTATATAAAGATATCAAGCAAATTAATTTTATATTTTTGAGAATTCATAGGTTGCTAGGAACTATTGCCGAAGAACTTATTAAAAATACACAAACTGGTATTTAAAGTATTCTAGAAGTTGTTAAATCAGAACAAATTCTTAAAATTTTTCTGAAGTACATCTAAACATCATCAAATAAATTTTCTTCATTATTGAAAAATCATGAAAGAATAAATAAAAGAGGAAAATTTATTATAAAGAGATTGACTTTGTATGAAATACATATACATAAATTTTATTGTCAAATAGTAAGTTTTTATTAATCGGTTAATTTTTTGTTTTAAATTTATTTTTGCGTTCATCAAAAAATAAAACTATAAATATATTTGGAAGTAATGTGGATTATTTTCCTAAAAGTTGATTTAGGGGATATCAACCGTATTGTTCCATTCTGAAATTTGTATATTTTGTTGAGAACACTATAAGTTTTTTCTTGAATTAACAAAGAAAATGAAAGATACCTTTTTTGAGATATCTTTGACTCAAAAACATTTTTAATATCATTATCCTCTTATTTAAACTATAATGTTTTAACGAAAGTATTGTTTAGAAATTTTGGAGAACTTTAAATTTCGTATTCACATGAAGAATGTATTTTTTTATAAAAAGATGTCATTTATTACTTCTTTTCTTTGAATACATTCAGTTTGGAAATTAAAAAAACATATTAAAATACTAGGTATTGTTTTTATGTGATTTTAAATAATTTTATTATATTTCA